TGCAAGTTACATCTGCGTTTTGTCAATTATCAAAATCTAACGTTTTCAAAATGGATTTCTTAACACAATTGATAACACAATTCCATTTTTCGGGGATAAGCGGAAATCGGTCAACGCTTGTTCGTAGGTGACCTAGATATTTTCGACATTTGATACCTATCAACAATAACTCTTTTCTTCCTTATTCCCGTCTCTTAAGCCGTGTGTGTGTGTGTGTTCGCCTATGACCCGTCTCGTATTACTTTTTACTCTCCTTCTTCGTTTTCTATTTCTTTCTCCCAAATCGCCTGAATGCATGGCGGTTCAATTCTCTCGCAAAAAAAAGAAAGAATTATTCTTAAAACCTAACATATTTTTCGGCCTTAAATAATCCTCAAATGGTTGATAAACCGTAAAAAAGCAAATCATATATCTATAAATGTTTCTTTCAAATCGTCAGGATGCATGGTGCCACAATATTTCACTGCCTTCCTGCTCATCAATTGTTACATTAACAAAAACATCTCCTTTGTTTGATGAAGTCCTAATGAACGAAATGGGTTTCACGAATTTGTTTTTTCCATATCTGTCTATATCTCTGAGATGTGATATTTTGATTATTTACATTATTCGGACTGTTATCCTCATCTTCATTGCCATATTCACAACGTTTCGGCCGATGTGCGCTTCGGCCTAGTTAGGTGACTGGAATTTCGAACCGAACCCTTTATTTCTTCCAGCGGGGTAGATTGTTCTATTTCCACGTGGCATGCCTCTTCTGGATGTCTGTTATTTCTCTTTAACTCAACACTCATCTTTCTTTACTAGAAATATTTTCATGGAAATTGTTATAAGTTTTTCCTTTTGTCCCGATTGCAGGAAGTTCAGCGTGCTACTGGATTGGCAGTTAGGTCTCACAATTTTTACTTTTGAACTAGGTAGAAGCCACAGTCAATTCTATTCTAATATTTTCTCTTCTCGTACTAGTAGCTTCTGGAAATCCCTTCAAATTTCTTGTTTCCCTGCCACAAACAATCTTAAACATTTCAATGCAACGCAAGTCACCATCTTTTTTTTTTCTGTTTGCTTACAATATATGGCGACTTAGGTGGAGGAAGGTATATTCAAGATTTGATAATGCTGCGGCAATACGCGCTTAAATTTTTAGGCAGTTTTTTTCATGGTTAGACGTAATTGTAAATGTAGGAATACCTTACACTTATGTAAGATAATAAAAGTAATAATATTTATTAAGAATTTATTACAGGAAATTGCAAGATTTACAGAAACATTCTTGACAGTTACATCATTTTAGAATAATTTGGCTGCAATGCTAAGTTTCCTAAGTTGAACAAACTGAAGCTATTTTGTTTACGTTTTCGTATCTCCCTTTTCCATTGTTGTTTTTAGATCGCTTTATTCCAGTCATTTTGGTGGGCAATAACGAAATTCTGAAATTAAGAAGGATCTTATTGCATTTCAAGATAAAGCTTGTAAAAATGAATATTTTAAATTAGTATACGACCTAAGCATATTTCGAATTCCAGTCGAATCCATTACATTCACTTAGGTGCTAAAACTCTACCGCAGAAAGAAATGGCAACCTACTGCGGGAAAAAAACTGCCTCGTTAGTCATGTATCGAAAGATACATTATCGCCTAAGTGTATATTACTCATGGCGCATAACATTTTTATACAACCAAAAATAAAATGCTTTTGACAAAAAAAAAACTATATTTGATTTGATCAACATTTCTTTTCATGGTTAGACGTAAGGAATTGTGAATGTAGGACTACCTTACACTTAAATAAAATAATAGCAATAATAATATTTATTAAGAATTTAATACAGGAACTATCAAGATTTACAGAAACATTCTTGACAGTTACATAAATAAATAAAAATAATATAAATTTTGATGCTATATTCGATTTGTTTTTCGGTATTTTTCATTTGCTACTTTGTTATTGACAGCATTTTAGAATAATTTGGCTGCAACGCTAAGTTTCTTAAGTTGAACAAACTGAAGCTATTTTGTTTACGCTTGGTTACCATTCTTTTCCATTGTTGTCTTTTATCGCTTTATTCGAGTCATTTAAAATTTGAAATTTAGAATGATCTTATTTCATTTTAAAAATAAAGCCTGTAAAAAGGAATATTTTAAATTAATATTAGTCATTCAGTTACCTGCCGTACGAGATATGTGCTTGGGCGATCATGTGTCCTTCGATACATGACTGACGAGGCAGATATATTTCCCAAAGTAGATTAATATACGACCCAAAATAAAATGCTTTTGGCCAAAAACCTTAATGATTTCATTATAATTATGTAACACTAATGTAATGATATTCCCTAGACAAATGTACGGTTGATGTTAACTCATCTCATTGCATGGTTACGAATTATAAGCTAGCTTGAAATATTGTTTAATTGGCATTAATTAATGTAAAGTTCTTGGATATGATATAATGAATAATTTGAAATGAAAAAAGCAATGTTCGATTTTTTGTTGAATACGACCCTCCTCCACCGAACGCGTCATATATATTGCTTATTTGTCTGGAAATACTATCTGACACAGCCGTGCAGCCTCTCGTCCATAACCAATTCGCGAGGCCGTATGTCAAAATCATATCTATCTGTTCACGATAGGAATATCCTGCCATTGTTAAACGGAACACTTCACAGTGACATGCGTGATACATACTTAGACGATCAAATAAAAGGAGGCACCCTTTTTTTTTTGTTTGCGGTTTCTAATACCAGTGTCTGGGCGGTTAGCGTTGATTGTTCTGCCTATGTGTATTGTATAGTCACATTAAAGTTGTAACAGGTCCTATCTCCGTAACCGGGTCTGGGTGGTGTTCATACCAGTTTCTTTCAGTTTCCTTCCCGTACAAGTTGCAGATTTTCCCGTGCGCATAGTGTTTAAATCTTTGCATGACAGAGTGGGCCAATATCTGCACTGGGAAATCTGCAACTTCTACGGGAAGGAAACTGAAAGAAACTGGTATGAACACAACCCAGACCCGGTTACGGAGATAGGACCTGTTACAATTCTATGGGACTACACAGTACACACTGACAGAACAATCAAGGCCAACCGCCCAGATATTGTTATTAAAGACCACAAACAAAAACAGTGTCTCCTTATTAATATGGCAGTCCCTGCTGACTGCAATGTATCTTTGAAGATATTCAAAAAGCTGTCAAAATACAAGGACCATAAAATAGAAACCTCGAAAATGTGGCACATGGGAACATCAACAATCCCTTTTGTAGTTGGAGTCCTAGGATTGGTTGGAAAGGATTCCAGTAGACTAATTGAAGCGATTCCTGGAAGCCCATGCCTTAACAAGAAACAAAAAATTGTTCTGATAAGTACAGCCCACACTTTACGAAGGGCTTTATCTATGTAATTTTTTCTTTTTTTTTGTCAGTGGAAAGTGTCATGATGCCATTTCTAACCTTAGGTTTCTGGGCGGGACCCGGAAAGAAATGTGTAAACGCCAGAAATCAAAGAAAATAATAATAATAATTGTACACACAAATAAGGCACAGATCTTACGAAGTAATTATGTATATAAAAGGTGTGTGATTTGTTTTCAAAACTGCTCAGTGGAAAATGTCATGATGCCATTTCTGACCTTAGATCTCTGGTCGGAACCCGGAAAGAAATGAGTATATGCCAGAAAACACAGGAAATAAAATATAATAATAATAATAATAATAATAAATTCGCTGAAAAAAGACAGACTATCTTTTAGCAGTTATGAAAATATTTGAATTCTGTCAGACGACATTATCAATCCACTTATCCCAACGTCGGCCGCCATGTTCCACAGCATTCATAATACTCTGCAAAAAATGGCGGCTTACAACCTTTGATTAAACGTCACATTTAATCTTCTTCTGTCGTTCCTCGTCTTTCTTTTCTCGGCCTTTTTTGTCGTCATTTTTGCTGTCACCGCGGCCTGAAAACGAATAATGTTTAATATACTGCTACTGTTACTTCTTTGCACTTATAATTTTTCGCGCCATTTCTTTGTACGTTTCACATCTGGTCTTTTTTTTTTTTTCCTTTTTGTGTTTTTCATCATTTTTGTCTTTTTCTTTCTTATTTTTTAGGGTTTTCTCGGGTGTTTTTTTTTTATATTTGAAAGATGATGTTAACATATCAGAAGAAAGTGATTTCATTGTCCTCTCAAACAAAATAAGTTGGTGCAATCTGTCAGACGATTATTCTTATCTTTCGTGTTTTAATTACTTCGCCTATACTTCTCTCTTCTTGATGCCTTCCTACATCTCTCTACTTCTTACTTACACTCTCTAACAACTTTCTATCTTTCTACTTTCATTTTCTTGACCTCCCTCTCTCTCTCGCACGGATACATTCCTTCACTTCATACTATTTTTCTTTCTCTTTTTCAAGCTCTCTATATCTCTCCCACTTTCATTCTCTATTCTAGCCTCTCTTTCGTCTTTGATCTTCTTGCTCTGTGCCATTCGCTTTCTCTCTATACGTTCCTTCTCCTTTGATATTCTCACTCTGTCTTTCTCATTTTTACTCAATATTCTATTCTCTAACTCCTTTCTATTTCCTTGCTCACTCTCCCTTTAGATTCTCTCTATACTTTATCGCCTTCTCGTTTAATATTCTCTCTATATCTATCACATTTTCACTCTTTATTCTCTTCGCCTTTTCCCATTTAATTTTCTTGCTCTGTCTCTCTCACATTCTCTCTATACTTTCTCTCCTTCGAGTTTTTCTCTCATTTTCACTTTCTATTCTATTCTATTTTTCCCCTTTAATTTTCTTACTCTGTCTTTCTTACATCCTCTCTGTACTTTCTCCCCGTCTCCTTTGATATTTCTCTCTCTCACTTTCACTTTCTCTTCTATTCTATGTTTCCCCTTTAATTTTCTTATTCTGTCTCTCTTACATCCTCTCTGTACGTTCTCCCCTTCTCCTTTGATATTTCTCTCTCTCACTTTTTACTTTCTTCTTTCTTTTCTATGTTTCTCTTTGATTTTCTTTCTCTGTCTCTCTTACATCCTCTCTGTACTTTCTCCCCGTCTCCTTTGATATTTCTCTCTCTCACTTTCACTTTCTCTTCTATTCTATGTTTCCCCTTTGATTTTCTTACTCTGTCTCTCTTACATCCTCTCTGTACTTTCTCCCCGTCTCCTTTGATATTTCTCTCTCTCACTTTCACTTTCTATTCTATTCTATGTTTTCCCTTTAATTTTCTTACTCTGTCTCTCTTACATCCTCTCTGTACTTTCTCCCCTTCTCCTTTGATATTTCCCTCTCTCACTTTCACTTTCTCTTCTATTCTATGTTTCCCCTTTGATTTTCTTACTCTGTCTCTATTACATCCTCTCTGTACGTTCTCCCCTTCTCATTTGATATTTCTCTCTCTCACTTTCACTTGCTATTCTATTCAATGTTTCCCCTTTAATTTTCTTACTCTGTCTCTCTTACATCCTTTCTGTACGTTTTCTCCCTCTCCTTTGATATTTCTCTCTCTCTCTTTCACTTTCTATTCTATTCTATTTTTTCCCTTTAATTTTCTTTCTCTCTGTCTCTCTTACATCCTCTCTGTACTTTCTCCTTCTCCTTTAATATTTCTCTCTCTCTTACTTTCACTTTCTCTTCTATTCTTTGTTTCCCCTTTAATTTTCTTACTCTCTCTCTCTTACATCCTCTCTCTACTTTCTCCCTTCTCCTTTAATATTTCTCTCTCTCTTTTTTTTTCTTCTATTCTATGTTTCCCCTTTTAATTTTCTTATTCTGTCTCTCTTACATCTTCTCTGTACTTCCCCACTTCTCCTTTGATATTTCTCTCTCTATCTCACTTTCATATTCTTTCTTTTTCTCTGTCTCTCTTCTATGTTTGCATCCTTTTTTTCTCTGCTTGTCTTTTGATACGTCTCTCTCTATACATTCTCGTCTTCTCATTGGCTATTTCTCTCTCTAACTCTCTCACCTTTCACTCTCTATTCTATTATCTCTTCCCCCTTTAATATTCTTACTCTGTCTCTTACACATCATCACAATACTTCTCTTTCTCCTTTCTCTTTCCTTTCTCTCTATCTCCCCCACTTTCATTCTATATTTTATTCTCTGTTCACCTTTACTTTTTTGACTGTCACTCTCACATCCTCCCTGTACTTTCTCTTATATTTCTCTCTCACTAACTTCCACTTTCACTTCCACTCCCACTTTCACACTCGATTCTTTCTTTCCTCATCTTAATCATCTCTATAGTTTCTTTCCAACTCCTTTGATTTTTCTCACTTTTTCTCCTTCACTTTCACTCTTTGTTCTATTCTTTCCCCTTTAATAGTCATGCTCACTCTCTCTCTCTCTCTCTCTCTCTCTCTCTCATCCTATGTATAGTTTCTCTCCTTCTCCTTTTCTTATTTCTCTTTCTTTCATCTCTCTTATTTTTGTTTTCTATCCTTCTTTCTTTCTGTCTTCTCTTTCTCTCTCTCTCTCTCTGTCACTCTCTCATCCTATCTATAGTTTCTCTCCTTCTCCTTTGATATTTCTCTACCTCTCTTACTTTTACTTTATATTCTTTCTTTCGCTCTGTCTCTCTCTCTCTCTCTCTCTCTGTCACTCTCTCATCCTATCTATAGTTTCTCTCCTTCTCCTTTGATATTTCTTTATCTCTTACTTTTTACTTTATATTCTTTTCGCTCTGTCTCTCTCTCTCTCTCTCTCTCTGTCACTCTCTCATCCTATCTATAGTTTCTCTCCTTCTCCTTTGATATTTCTCTACCTCTCTTACTTTTCAACTTTATATTCTTTCTTTCCCATTGCTCTTTCTCTCTGTCTCTCTCTCTCTCTGTCCTCTCTCATCCTATCTATAGTTTCTCTCCCTTCTCCTTTGATATTTCTTTATCTCTCTTACTTTTACTTTATATTCTTTCTTTCGCTCTGTCTCTCTCTCTCTGTCACTCTCTCATCCTATCTATAGTTTCTCTCCTTCTCCTTTGATATTTCTCTACCTCTCTTACTTTTACTTTATATTCTTTCTTTCGCTCTGTCTCTCTCTCTCTCTCTCTCTGTCACTCTCTCATCCTATCTATAGTTTCTCTCCTTCTCCTTTGATATTTCTCTACCTCTCTTACTTTTACTTTATATTCTTTCTTTCGCTCTCTCTCTCTCTCTCTCTCTCTGTCACTCTCTAATCCTATCTATAGTTTCTCTCCTTCTCCTTTGATATTTCTCTACCTCTCTCACTTTTAATTTATATTCTTTCTTTCGCTCTGTCTCTCTCTCTCTCTCTCTCTCTCTCTCTGTCACTCTCTAATCCTATCTATAGTTTCTCTCCTTCTCCATTGATATTTCTGTATCTCTCTCACTTTTACTTTATATTCTTTCTTTCGGTCTGTCTCTCTCTCTCTCTGTCACTCTCTCATCCTATCTATAGTTTCTCTCCTTCTCCTTTGATATTTCTCTATCTCTCTTACTTTTACTTTATACTTTATATTCTTCTCTCTTCTCTCTGTCTCTCTCTCTCTGTCACTCTCTCCTTTCCTATCTATAGTTTCTCTCCTTCTCCTTTGATATTTCTCTACCTCTCTTACTTTTTTACTTTATATTCTTTCTTTCGCTCTCTCTCTCTCTCTCTCTGTCTCTCTCTAATCCTCATCCTATCTATAGTTTCTCTCCTTCTCCTTTGATATTTCTCTACCTCTCTTACTTTTTACTTTATATCTTCTTTCTTTCGCTCTCTCTCTCTCTCTCTCTCTCTCTGTCACTCTCTCTCCTATCTATAGTTTCTCTCCTTCTCCTTTGATATTTCTCTACCTCTCTTACTTTTACTTTATATTCTTTCTTTCGCTCTGTCTCTCTCTCTCTCTCTCTCTCTCTCATCCTATCTATAGTTTCTCTCCTTCTCCTTTGATATTTCTCTATCTCTCTCACTTTTTTTACTTTATATTCTTTCTTTCGCTCTGTCTCTCTCTCTCTCTCTCTGTCACTCTCTCATCCTATCTATAGTTTCTCTCCTTCTCCTTTGATATTTCTCTATCTCTCTTACTTTTACTTTATATTCTTTCTTTCGCTCTGTCTCTCTCTCTCTCTCTCTCTGTCACTCTCTCATCCTATCTATAGTTTCTCTCCTTCTCCTTTGATATTTCTCTACCTCTCTTACTTTTACTTTATATTCTTTCTTTCGCTCTGTCTCTCTCTCTCTCTGTCACTCTCTAATCCTATCTATAGTTTCTCTCCTTCTTCTTTGATATTTCTCTACCTCTCTTACTTTTTTTTTTATATTCTTTCTTTCTCTCTCTCTCTCTCTCTCTCTCTCTCTCTCTCTCTGTCTCTCCCATCTATAGTTTCTCTCCTTCTCCTTTGATATTTCTCTACCTCTCTCACTTTTACTTTATATTCTTTCTTTCGCTCTGTCTCTCTCTCTCTCTCTCTGTCACTCTCTAATCCTATCTATAGTTTCTCTCCTTCTCCTTTGATATTTCTCTACCTCTCTCACTTTTACTTTATATTCTTTCTTTCGCTCTGTCTCTCTCTCTCTCTCTCTCTCTCTCATCCTATCTATAGTTTCTCTCCTTCTCCTTTGATATTTCTCTACCTCTCTTACTTTTTTCTTTATATTCTTTCTTTCGCTCTGTCTCTCTCTCTCTCTCTCTGTCTCTCTCTCATCCTATGTATAGTTTCTCTCCTTC